CACTACATTGATGTGTGGTCTGAGTATGTGTTATCGGATAATTTATAATGCTCGCTCTTTTTTCCTCGACCAAATATTATATAATATATATAAATATATATATTACTTTAAAAATTTCTAGCTCACGTTAGTCGCCTCTGGCTATATTTATTAAAAATTGCCAGCTCACATTAGATCACCTCTGGCTATATTTATTAAAAATTGCTAGCTCACGTTAGATCGTCCCTGGCTATATTTATTAAAAATTGCCGGCTCACGTTAGATCGCCTCAAACTATATTTATTAAAAATTGCTAGCTCACGTTAGATCGTCCCTGGCTATGTTTATTAAAAATTGCCAGTTCATGTTAGATCGCCTCAAACTATATTCATTAAAAATCGCTAGCTCACGTTAGATCGTCTCTGGTTATATTTATTAAAAATTGCTAGCTTACGTTAGATCGCCCCTGGCTATATTTATTAAAAATTGCCAGCTTACGTTAGTTTACCTCTAGCTTTATTTTTCGGAAATTATTTTGAAATTATGTTTTTTCTCAGAATAAAATCGAGTACTCCGGGTTTCCTTTTAAGACCTTCGGATATACTTTTATCCTGGAAAAGGATTTGTAATTCTACAGTCAACCAATTTAAAGATATTTCTAATTTACAAAAATAGCGTTTTATCGTCGATTAACAGCCAACTCCAGGATCCCTTTAAGGTAGTTGTTTCGCGACAGTATGATCTAAAAGTTGTCTTTCATTTAAAAAAAAAACTCAAATAATAAAGTTTAGAGATATATCATTACATATTATTTAATTTATTATACGAACAATTTATTACTAAAAAGGATTAATAAAAAGTTTAATAATAATTTAAAAGTAGTTAATTAATTAATTTCTTGCGTTTGCTAGAGTAAACTTTTGGTTGGGTTTGTCTATACTACGCACCTACACATGTAAGAATTGAATATCGTGATTCATATCTTCGAGTTTTTTATACGAATCGAGTTTTTTATACATCAAAAAATATTAAAAATTATATACTTTTTACGATTATACATATTATTGAAACTGAATAGTCAATAATGCTATTTCTTTTTTAATGTTCATATATCTGTCTTCTGCATGCTCATTATTTTTCATTAAAGTCTTAAATGTAGTTTTCAAGATAAAATTAAAAATATGACGTTAACCTTAATATGGTGTATGCAACACGTGTTAAAAGTATTAATTACAATTGCAATTATCTCAGCTTTTAAACGGTAAATTTTTGCGCTAATCGCCGCATTTTAGATACATTTACAGGCGAGGGAAAAAGATTTATTAATTTCGCGGAAATTGGTGAAGTTTCTTATCGATTTGCAGATTAACGCGGACAATTTTCAAAAATATCTTACGCATATTTGATACAATATTTTATAATTATTTCGCTGATAGCAAAATAATTCAGAATAATTTGTTAGTTCCGGCGAGCGACTCAATTATATTTTGTCTTGTAAAACTTGATGGTCATGTCGGGAAGTCTATATAATTTACTTGCAGGTCGGCAAGACACATGAAGAAATGGACAAGATCGCACGTCTACTACCATACGTATCGCACAAGGACGAAGTCGTCGAAATTACGGAGCCTATCGACCCTGCTAAACTCCTTCCCGGTAAGTTGATATCGAGTAATCATTCGAGTAATTGGGTGATTGTTTCTTTGATCAAGTATTCTATGTATTTGTGATGCAGTGCCCGTGAACTATGTCCTTGTTGTTCTTAACGTCCCTTTTGTAATATTCAATTGTACCGAGAGTTGAAAACTGTTTGTGAAAGTTGCATTGGTTCTGGTGTAAGCGTAGTCTTGAATATAAATTAATTAAGTCGAGCGAAAAACAGGTTTGACAATTTGTAAAATAAAACTAAAAAAGGTGAAATATTTTATTAGGCTGTGTAATAAGTAATTTTGGATTTTCCAATATATGATTAGATTGTTGTTTCTTTACGCACGCAGCACGCTACGGATAAAACTTGATTACAATTTCGACAAATTAATGTTTAATTTACATATTAATCAAACTACACTTTGCCTGACGAAAAAAGTAGACAGATTTATTAGAAAAATCTAAAATTATTTATTACACAGCCAAATAATTAATTTATTTTTAACTAACTTGTATCCACCCTATATGCTGTCTTGTTATAATTAATTTTTAGGCAAATATTAACAATGCTAACATAAGAGAAGTATCGTCTTCCAAATCACATTACGCAAAAATCGTTATCATTTCGTAGACATTATTTGGTGCGTGCCATCGCATTAATGTTACTAACCAAATTTTTTCTGCTTACGTATTATTGCTTGCATATTACGCACAGTGCGCGGTGGACGTGCCGGCACACAGAGATGGTCATGCATGCGTTGGGCCGACCGAATTATACCACGCTACGAGAACAAATGGGACTTTCAAGGTTTGTATCGCCTTGAATTAGTTCATATGAAAGCGAAATGTTGCAGCGCTCGAGCGTGGCCCTCTCGTTTTTCAGCAACATCTCGAAAAGCTCGCCCAGATGTGACTTATGTCTTCGGTTATTTTCAAGCAGCCAGTTTCCCGAAGCTCTGCATGTGAACGTATACGGTCGAATAAATCAATATTTCTTTCACTTCCTAGCATGAAGTGGCTATTTTATATGAAGAAAAAGAATAATTTTGCAATTAAATTTTTGCAGTGTACTTTTTTTTATTCTTATGTGATGTGTATTTTTTGCCGACAATTTATTAAAATTTCTTACTTTGTTACAGGATGTATTTGTGTAAATATATTTGTTTATATGAATGGCACAAATATTCGTTAATGTTTTCACAATTTAGCTTTAATTAATGCACTGATTACGTAATTCTTTATCTTTTGTAAGCGATACAGTATTATGTATACGTTATATTTCAAGTGTTTCTGCAGATGTAGTTCTAAATATTACCTCAGATGTCCTCGTTAGTGTATTACTTATCGATATTATTTCGGAGAAATGTCACTCGAGTACACTGATGGCACCGAAAGATAAAATAAAAGGTTCGCACTTGTACGAAACATTGCTTCTCGTCAGAAAACGGAGGCAGTACATTAATCAAATTGTATAATTCCATTTCACTGCACATTTCTTTCTTCTATTAAATTTCGATTTGATGTGACATATGTTGTAATGAAAAAATGGAAATATTTTTGTTACGTAAAGTGCATTTGAATTCATGAGAATTCAAAAAATCTTTAAACTCTATATTAAATCGAATCGAACTTCAAATTATATCAAATATAGTCATTTTGAAGTTAATTTTTCTATATATTTTTTTATAAGAAAAACAGGATCATAATACAAACAAAAATCATTTTTTCAGTTTATCACGCTAATTTTATTAACGATATGTATAAGTGATTTGAGCGATTATTTTAATATTTATCTATACATTGATTTATAGCATCGCTTTAATTGTTGGCTTAAAAATTTGGCATTTTATCATTTCCACGCTTTCTTTTACACACAAATACAAGAAATAATCTTGATTTTTTTTTTAGACGATAACGGATACTGGACGTATTTGGGTTCATTGACAACACCGCCGTGCAATGAGAGTGTCACTTGGATTCTCTTCAAAAAGTACATCGAAGTGTCCCATCATCAGCTAAATATATTCCGCAATCTGCGAAAGTTTCCACGTGGCGAAGAGTGCCCTTGCCATGAAAACCACGGAGCGGTAAGTGTCCACAAAAGTATCGGAAAAATATCAATTTCTTTGCAACTTTTGCAACGTTGTAATTTTTTTTATCTTTAATCAACAAGTGTGATTACTTTGTCAATTTTTTCGTTATCTAAGTATCTTTAAGGATTTCTTGTATCGTTTTTTTTTGCATTCTCCCGCTTTTTTTTTTGTTTGATAAATGAATCGCAATTGACAATCAACTTGACGGCGAACACCTCTGCGGCGACGCGATTACCATTTTCCAGCCGCCAGATGCATATCGTTTGCAACGAGTCGGCATTTTTTTTCTGGCCGATATACGCGAACCGCAGAGTGGCCGGTAGCTATTTTTAGGCGTCCAGGACGTCGACAACCGCGACACGTCGTCTCGGCGACGAGCGGTGATATATTTCGAATCGACCGAGCACCACGACACACCCTCGTTTTTAATTTCGCTCGTTTTTCTTCTTTGCAGGTGATCAACAACTTCCGCCCACCGATGCCGTTGGGAAATCGTGTTTTGCGAGAGTGCGGTAGCTTCTAAGAGTGATCTTTTTATCAAGAAAATGAAAAGGAATGAAAGGAAGAGAGAAACAGAGATGATTCGACCTTTTCTTCATTTTTGCGAACCATCGACCTCAGAACGACTATACTTACGTACAGTCGTTAACAAACAATAGCGTTCAACGTGCCTTTTATTAATCAACGAACACTCGCATTGCGTTCTGCGAAGCGCAGTTCGCTGGCCCGTTGTGTCCTTGTAATCAAATTTGATAGCGTAATCGATTCTTTGTTGAAAGAAACAGAGTTACGCCGCAAGCAGGAAATGCTATTGTGTGGACATGAATTACAGATATTTGATAATTTTAACTCTTGCATAATAAGCGGCAAACTTATTATCCAATGTCATTTAATTCGATTACACGATATAATCTATCGATCGTACAATGTAATTGGCACCGTATCTCGAAATTATCATAACTTTATACAGAATGTATCGTAAAATAGGTCGTGTAAATCTTTGTAGGTCTTTGTAGATCATGTTACACTCTTTGCAAAAATCGCAAATTACACATGTCTATTTAATATTCTCGTTTTAAAATACATCCTGTATAGCGAGCTACTCATTGGACACATCGAGATACTAATTTTAAACACAAGGTATCTGTGACCAACTAGAATGTCCTTTGATAGCAGATACACGAGTTGCTGAAAAAATCTTAAAAACAAAATACATTTACTACAGCACACTAATAACAGGTAATTATCGACCACACCCGTTCTTTTAACATATTCAGGGACGCTTTACTGCAGCAATATCAATGTCAATTGACAGTGCATATCTAGAACACTTGTCTAAATATAATATCGCGTCCCTGAACCAAACCAAACGGTTGGTGAACGGTTAATTTTAATTGCCATTCATTTACACACATACACACAAATTGTCCAAGTTAAAAAATCCGTTTAAACGCAATTATCTTTAAGTGCTCGTACAGTTCATCAGCTGGCAAATCTATGTCCTTGACAGAAAGTGTCAGTTACATTTATTCAGGAATACCATGTAGGCGTGTGTATTTCATTTTAAATCAAGTGCAATTACGAATGAAACATAGATAACATTAACTGTGCCTACTCTTCGCGCATGGAGAAATGTCACTTTCTCGTTAATTAGAAATTGTTGCTTGCAACAAAAAATGTGCCTATGCATATAGATAAACATCGTTTTTGCGATTTGAGATAGAACAATAAGACGAAACATAAATTGCAATATGGTGCATTAGTTCGCCAAGCAATATATTTCATATCATCATACGCATTAAATTAATGTACAGTAACAACATATAATTTCTTAAATATATTAAAGGGCTTACAGAAAAGAAACACTGTATTGTGAACTAGTGCACATTGGGACATTGGCACATTGGGAAATTCCGATCGATTTGTTCTTGAGATATAGACAGATTCTGCTCTATTCGTTCTGGTAAATAGTGATGTCACATTTAAGTGTTACGCGAGTACAATAATCTATCTTATAAATGCTGTATATTATGCATATACATATGTGACGTTTAAACGACGACTAGCTATTTATATTGTATCTACAAAACATGTGCACCACTGTTGACGTAGAAAAAATCCGAAAACATTTTTATGGTTTTATTCAGTCATATATTATATAGATTTTGCGTTTATGTGTGATTAAATTTGATGTGTGATATAATTACATTGTATAAGGCTTATTGCGCGCGTGTTGAACAACAAATGAAATGCTGATATAACATTATTATGACATTGATCGTGGATCTGATTTTAAGTTATGCAGACAATGTCGTTATGCCCAAACATCAACAATATTTTTGGAAATAATAATTTTTTCCGGTAATTTCGTTAATTTAAAGAAAATAATAAAATACCGGATGTTTTAGACCACCTGTCCCACCCTTTTAAAACATAGGGATGTGCTTGTACAAAAAAATGGCTCAGACAAAATTTGCATAATTTCGAGGGATCTATCTGAGGGTGACCTTGACTTTGACCTCGCAGTTGATTTTCAAAGTCATTTGAAGGTCAGACTAATTTTTTTAAATGAAAACCCCTATTTTTTATTCCAAAATCTAATAGCTGGTGTCAAGAGCTTTTCAAAACACTTTAATAAAGTTATTTTTTATTAAGTACTTTTCGAGTTATGAGGCTTGTAAATTACAGTATTTTGACATAAAATACAAAATATCTTGTAAAACATTCAATTTTTGGGAATTTTACCTTAATACTTTTATGCATAAAATAATGAGACGAATCAATTGGTATAAAAAAAACACATTGGTTTTAAAAAAAAGTATGCAGTTGCATATTGCAAACTACATATTTTTTCTTGAAAGCAACTATGTATTTTCTTTATACCAATTG